GGGAAAGGGTTAATGATCAGAGTGTTTAAATAGGTAACTCACAGGCAGGTTGCAGGTATAGTAGCATAGTATAGAACCAACAGATGGTCGATCATCTATATAGCAGACTACTTAAATTAAATAATGACTAAAGTTGTATATATAGCTTGTTGTACACTTATCATATAACTATAAAACCTTAGGAGATTGTTCTTGTGACAGCTCTGTAATAATAAATTAATAAAATCTAATCAGCAAAAGAAACCACCTTAATAATAAAAAAAAAAAAGAATTGCTATTCATATACTAGTGTTTGTATATGATCTCATTAGAAAAACTAATCAAAATTTAAATTAGGTGTAACATATAAATCATTTTTTATATAATAAAAAACAAAGAATTTTTTAAAAAAATACTAATATCTCAAAACTTCATTTATAAAACTATCTTTAGAGTATTAATAAAAAAAATTTCTTGCTAAATTTTGCATATAATTATAACTTTGTCAAAATCTTAGGCCTTGTCTTAACTCCAAAGTTAAAAAAGATTACTTTTTTTTAATAAAAAAATTTTTTTATTTATACCTATGTACAAACACATGTGTAAATTTAAAAATTTTCTTTAAAAAAACTAGATCAAAAATTTTATAATAAAAATTTTTAAAACAAACTTTAAAGATTTATTACTCAAAACTATTATAGTAATTTAAAAAACCTTTTTAAACAAAATTGTTAAAATAGTCTAGTAATCTTAGATAAAAAAAAAAAAATTATCAATAAAAGCAATATGTGTTCATTAACTATATACTCAAAACTGACTCAACTTTGATAACTAAAACCAGATGCAGAGTTTAGTTAGTTTATAGTGGTTAGTTAGCAGTTGTATGATAGCTTGTGTGACTATCGTTCAACTTAGATTCCATTTTTGCCTCCTTCATCAGGTCTGATAAAATAATTTTTTGCCAGCTTGCAAATTAGAGTTTACTATGTTTTAAAAGTTCGACTCATATTTTACTATGTTCTTAGTGTTCCGTAGAACCAAACTATAAACTTGGAATTGAACCAGATCTTTAAAGAACCCACCCATGCTAAACACTCTTAGCATTTCAGGCCTGCAATTTTACTATGTTTTAAAAAATTTTCAATTTCAGCCCAGCCCGTGCAGACCTCTATTTAGGGTGGGTTCTCTTAAAAACTTAGCTCGAACTGTCTTATGAGGAACACTAACAATAAGTTATCCTAACTCTTCAAGATTAATTTTTCACATCACAAAAATCACAGGTCCCTTTTTTGCAAACCACAATAATAAAATTATTGACCATATGGGCGGAAAAATTTAATTTGGTGATTATTTATCACAGTTTGCAAAATGATTTCAAAATTTGCATATATTAGTTAATATGTAAATTCTTCTGATTTTCGTTCAGATTGCATGATTTTGAAGTGATTTCTTATTCAAATGTTTAATACTATAATACAGAAACTTTTATTACCTTCTGCTTTTAGTGAAGATCTTCGCTGGCGAATTGTACGTATATCTTTATTATGACGGTTATACGTAGTAAACAAAAAATAGTAGAGTTAGCAAGTCAATGGTAATAAAAGTTATGAATAATTTACAGGATGCCATGGTAAATACAAACGATATATAAGTAAATATAATTTATTGTTGCAGCTGATGCTTGAAATCAGAGACTTCAATTCAAAAATATAAACCTTACCAAAATCCACTTATACTCTTTCATTATTAAAACTAACCCTAAACCCTAATTTAACTATGAAAAAAAAGCTAACAAAATGCACCTCAAAAATTTCATATTAAATTTCAAGCATACAGCCACGACATTTATTATATATTTTTATTTTTTAAGGATACATATAAAATCGATTGTAGATCAACATTGTGTAACAAAATCATATGAATACATATGATTTGACCAATCAGAAGTAGCAATTCTTTGTACTACCTAGGAAAAACATATAGCGACCTAGGCAAATTTAGTTATATGCGAAGTTAATTTTTTTTGAACCAATTTACATTTTATAATTTTACTATCAAAAATAAACTGTTTTAAACTATATACTATAAAATTTCAATAACGATTGACCCAAACTTTAAAAAGTTTTATTAGCAACATATTTTTATTTACTATGTACTACCACGGTGATCATATAAAAAATGATCTATGTTCATCCTACCCTTAAAATAATTCTTTTTTATCAAATATTAGATTTTATATTCTTTAATCCGAAGTATAGTTGATTGGTTTATATAGATGAGTTATTAAATGAAATGACAATTCAAAACTGGAAAGAATGAATGAATCAGAAATCATCGATTTCTTTTTTTTTTTTTTGATCTACAAATTTCAAACCGTAATTATTGAATGGGGGGCGCACTAAGATTTTTGAAATTTTGTCGATCATTTTTTTTGAAAAAATTTTCATAGTAATTTTATTATAAAATCGGTACATTTTTAAAATCGTTCTAATAAAGTAAATTTAATTCTGTAATTTGTAAATGATATATTAATAGCATAGCTTTAAAAAATCTATATGAAGATATTTTCTAATTTATTATATTATCTAAAATTATAAATAAATAAATTTTCATAGTAAAATATTCGTTATTTGTATGTTTAAACTACAGAGATCTTTAAATTCATATACAGTATTAATATAAAATATGGCCACATAGATTTAAAATTATGCTATTTTATTATCATTTGCAATTTGTAGAATTAAATTTGCTTTACTAGAACGGGAGTTAGAACATTTAAACGTCGAATTTTCTTATGTTCTATAACGATTTCCAAAATTATGTGATAAACTCTGAGAATTTGCTTCGAAATATGTGTGCGCCAAGTCTTATTTAAAGTTATATAATTGATTTTTTAATAGATTTTTTAATATAATTGCAATAATTCTTATAAAACCTTTAATAAAGAATAACGATAAATGATCAGTTATAACGTCCCAGAGATCTATCCAGAGATTGTTAAATTTCCCATTATAAAATCCTAACAATTTGATTTTTTTTACTGTATGAAATGATTGTGCGGTCCCGTGATCTCCGATCTAAGTTGTACCGATTAAGATAAATTCGAAGAATCACGATTAGAAGCCCCGATCGCCTCGGAGATTACGGGACCGCCAAATTTTTGCGTCATCACTTTTTGAATTGCTTATGAGTTTTTTATATTCTATTTATGAGTAGTGCACCGATCAGGATTAACTAGAATAACCCAAAACTAGATCAATTTGAGCCAAGCTGTTTATGAGTATCTCTTTGCTATCACCTAATTTCAGTAAAAATTTCCACCCATATTTATAAATAAATATCGATATAGTGGGTTGTGACCCTGCAGATATGAAAATCTGGATTTTAGTGATTTCCAAGTTTTCATCATCAAGATTATCACGGGATCACACCTTTTTGCATAACGATTTAGCAACATAATATCGATATGATAACTATAAATTATTGTTATTATCATATAACCTAAATAACAGATTTTGGGCTTTTAAATTTACAGTATAATTTTACCGGACTCAATCACTGTAAAATCTAATATGTTTTAATATTATAAATTATAAACCCAAAGTTTGGTTTTCCCTTTGCGTCACCCAATAGAAAACATATTTAATTCATGTTAACTAAGGTTAACAGATCAAAAAGACAGTGGATTACTGGTTTGATCAATCGTAAAGAGATGATTTACTATGTTTCACAGCAACCAATCTCGGAAAACGTAAAAAAAAAAAAGCCACCAACAATAGACAATTATAAATAGAAGCTTTAAAGACACCATTTTCGGCCAATGGTTTCCTGCCTGTTCGAAACAGGCCGGCTGTTAAATAGGAAAATGGCAAAATCAGAAAGACTAGGAAAGTGCTGGTCGAGAAAATCAAACATTTGTGTAAAACTAGGTGTTGCTAATTTTCCGGGAGAATATCATCGTCTCATTTCAAATTACTTTGTTAAAATTACTCACAATGCGCTCTGTGGACTTAAACGTTTTTTATTGAATTTATTTCCTTTGGCTAGCCGACATTCATCCGATTATATTATCATGCTTACGCAATAAAGTATAAAAAAATACAGTACTGTAACTAAATTCATGACATAAGTGTTTGTACAATAATTATACATCATTATATTGTCAAATCACATTGAGAGAGTCGCTTGAGGACTTCCTAAAGCAGTAGAAAATGCGAAAAACTATCAAAATTGAAATCAAAAGTTGTTATTAAATCCGAGTAAATATAGTACAAATTGTTTTTTTTTTTTAATTATCAATGAAAATGACTTGCATAATGAAATTTTTTTTTGAATTTTGTAGATTGTCAATTTGCATACACATGATTAAACTTCTTCAAAAATTATGATTACCAAAATTTCGTCTTTTTACTGCAAAGACTCATAATTAAGCATATTTCTATACTAATTGGTCTAATTATAAATTAATAAGTAATTGCCCAGTCATATTACATTTATTTGTACCGAGGTTTTAAATGATCTCTTGCGTATCCTAACTTGGATCCAACGACCATCAAATTTTTTTCTATAAATTTATTATGGCATGGTAGAGTGGCATTATGGCATGATATCTTTATAATTAACAAGAAATTTATAATCATGAATACTTTTTTCAAACGCCTAAAGTACTTCCAAATAAAAAAATATGGTACAACACACATGGTATATATTATTGTTAAATTGCTTATATAGTAAAGATTTACACATGCGGTTACATTTAATATAAACTTATGTCAACATACATTTATGCAAAGCAAGCATACATAAAGAGAGATCACTAAATTAATAAAGAATCCATTATTGGGATTTTTCACGTGAAACGTCATGGTTAATATTCATAACAGATAATAAATACAAAGTATAAATAGTAGTAATACAGCTTACGAACGGTTTTTAAATAATATAAACAAGTAATTTTTAATTTTCTGTTCCGTCTATATTAGATTATGTATTTTGCCCTTTATCATTTTAACATGCTTATGAAAAATCTTTAATTTCTATCTTCTCTAAAGAATAATAAGATAATTAATATATATATATATATATATTTATATTTATATATATATTTATATATAAAATAAAAAATAAAATAAAGTTATAACCATTTACATATAATAATAATGACAACAGGACGGTTAAGTGATGCTAGTGAAGCATCGTATTTTTCTACGTCGACGGCGTCGACTACAAATTCGAAGGTAAATAAAATTCAAATTATTTTATGTGATATACAAAAATGAATACTGAATAGAGATAAACTTTATCGTCACAATATTTTCTATTTAGAATACTTTACCAATAGCTGCGCAATTCTCTTCTTATACTAATATTGATGAAATATTAAATGTAGACTATCAAGTCGAACATCAAGATATTGACGCAAATTGGTATCGACGATATTTTTATGGAAAAGGTAACTTTAATAAATTCTTTGGTGTAAATTTTCTTTTTTTTTTTGACTAAATACTAATTAATTACGTATTTTTAGACCATCCAACTTTTATAGGAACTATTGAACCATATGGACCGGTTATAGTTTCAATTATTCACGATACGTCTCACAATCTTGGTGATATATATTGGTATAGATACATTGTTCGCAAAAAAGAGGTACTTATTTACTAAAATATTCGTGCAATGCATACATATGCATTTCGTTGCATTAAAGAAAAATCTATTAATATTATAGGTTTCGGATCATCGTGGTGTGTTGGCTGGTCAAGCTTACTTTGGTGAACCAATATGGGAAGATCTATTGAAAATGATTGATAGAAATTTTGTACCACACCGTTTGACGAAATTTATAACCACACCTGAATTAAGCCAAGAACTATTAAGTTTAGATGAATCAAGGGTATTTACATGAATTAACTTGATAGTTCTTCATTTTACTTTTATTGATTAATAATAATTATTTTTTATTTATTAATATATATATATTTTTTATTAACTAATTTTTATAGCTTCAAAAGCAATATAAGATTGGTGTTCTTTATCAGGCACCATCACAAGTATTCGAAGAAGAATGGTTTTCAAATACAACTCCGTCACCTGAATATGAAAGGTTTCTCAATTTATTGGGAAATAAAGTTGAACTGCAAGGATGGCAAGGGTTTGGGGGTGGATTAGATACGAAAACGGGGGGATCCGGTAAATATTCTATTTACGATAGTGGAACATGGAAAGATTTCGAGATAATGTATCATGTAAGCACAATGATACCATTTGAAAATAAAAATAAACATCAGATTACAAGGAAAAAACATTTAGGAAATGGTAAGTTTTATAATTATTATTAATAAAATAGAATAATAAGAAAATAAGTAAAAGATTGCTAATTTTTTTGTATTTATTGTTTAGATGTTGTATGCATAGTATTTCAAGACGTTTATAAACCATTTTCTCCATTTGCGATACGTTCACAATTCTTACACGTATACGTGATAGTCAGTCCCGTACGTTTGAACAACGAAAATGATGCATATAGGTATAAATCTCTTATTTTAATATAATGTAAAGTAAGATAACAACTTTTTTGACAATATATTTATTTACTTTTAGGGTTGAGATAATGTGCAAAGAAGGTGTTCCAAGTTTCGGTCCTGCGTTACCCGAGCCACCAATCTTTTATGATCCGGTATCATTAAAGAAATTTTTAGTTGCCATAGGTAACATATTGACTTATTATTAATTATTATTATTTTTGATATTTTTTTTCTTTAATAACATTACATTTACATTGTATAATACAGTAATAAATGGTCAAAATGCTGCTTGGAAAACTCTAAAATTAGCAGAACCATTCCTTCGAGCCCGAAGTGGTATAGTGAATGACATTGCCAAAAAATATACACCGTTAGTACTCACACCTTTAACACCTCCACAATCACCAAGGAAAATTCCACGAGATGATTTCGATAATACTTTGAAACGTCTTTTTGCTAAAGAATTAAAGCCAAATGGATCATTACCCGACCTAATGCAAGTAAAATCATTACTTGATAAAGGTGCAAATCCAAATATTAGGATACCACAACCTAAACAGTCTCGGGAACAACTCAAACAACAATCAGCAATGTCAACTTCAAATTATTATAATTCTAATTCGGAATCATGTGAAAGTGACAAATTACCAAATATACTATTTGCTGCAATTGCGTTATCAGATGATCCAGTATATGCAAAATTATTAATTAATTATGGTGCCGAAACGATGCCTCGAGATCCTCATTTTCCAAATGCGTTTGTATTTGCCGCAAGGTATAAAAGAGTTGAGATAATGAGATGTTTGTTGGAGAATGTACCGTCATTGAGTGATCCAGAGTCTGTTGATGCCGCTATTGTTGAACGTAGTAGTAGTAAACATTCTATCGGAACTAAATTGTGGGAAGAAGTTAAAAGGCTAAAAAATTCAATTATACATTAATGAAAATTAATTACACATAATAATTTAAAAAGTTGTATTTTTATTGGTACAGTATTATATAATTATATATACTATATATACTACACATGTATAGTCCTATAAATACTTAATATTTTTTAATACGTAGTAATATAATAAAAATTTAGTAAATACTGTATATTAAAAATTTTTTTGTAATCACTTAATGTTTTACTCTACATTTGTCATGTGATAATAGGATTAAAATCTTGTAATTTTATTAAATAAAAAATATATAACATATAGTATAAACAACTTTATAAAATAATGTTTTTTTGTAATTCTAAGATTTGGTTGTTCAGGTTAATGATGTAATCCGAATATCCGAATAAATCCTATATAATTCGGATTTGATTCCCAAGGGATATCCGTTATCTGAGGCCGGATCGGATGTTGTATCCGTTATCCTTGGCGGATATTTGTTTTTATCCGAAAATTAATAAAATTTTATTACAATAATTTGTCGCATTTATAAACATCACGCTAAATAATCTCTATTGCCAAAGTTTAAGCAATTTCAAAGTACATCTTCTCAATTCCACCTTAACTTTAACTTGATGTTTCATCAAATAAAGTAGGTGTTTTATAAACTGAATTGCCCTGATACCAAATAATATTTTTACATCTTCAAATCCTTTCAGTTTCATAAGATTAATTTTCTTGTAAAACATTGAAATCAGATGCAATTATTGCAAATTTGTCTGTAAGACAATGTAAGGGGATAGAATTATATATATTTATTAAATCATCAAATACTTTGGTTTATTAAGAAAAAAAAAGAACTTTTGGCATGTGCGAACTCCGTCGATGATCCGGATGTATTCGTGCTGATTATTTCAAAACGATCCGGATCATCTCTAGTTACCGATATTCATAGTAAATTAATTACGATAATATAATAATTGATTCTAAAAATATATGTGATTTATTACTTCATCATGCGATTCCGATTTTTTTATATCTAATATGAACTATGATTGCCGATTACTAGATTTTTCTACGTATCATAATACATATATCGATATAATTATGATAATTATACGCATGAGCGAATTTTTTTGTCAAATCATATTATATAATTACCGGGAGTAAAGTATAAAAGTATAACGATAATAAAATTAAATTTATGATTGATTTATTGCGGTTTACAAAATTATGTAAAATTTGCAGATTCTGACAGAAATCAGTTTTTTTTTTTTTTTTTTTTTTGATCTGCAACTCAGTTCTATTATTATTTAGCTGTGATTCTAGTTCATTAGTAAAATTCATATAAATTCTATAAGAAATTTATTTATATACGTAGTATGGTGCTATTACATATGTATAATGATCGGATGCATATTATGCTATATTGTCAAAGAAATCGCATATCGTAAAAGGTGGAAAATAGTTATTTGAAAAAAATATATTTCATACAGATTCTAAATGTTTATGAAAATGTCATCAAATGGTGCCATTCTTGTTCATCTTGTATTAAAAAAGTAGAAAATGAATGTGACGATTGTATCTTGAAAAATATAATAATTCAATTATGCCTTTTTTTTTTTTTTTACTAAAAATCTTTGGTATACATTTTCGCTAACTTTGATCATATCCCAAATTTAAAGGGTAATGAGTAGAGATGTACCTCGCGCAAGGTCAAACTAGCATATATTCACAACCTCACGCAAAGTTACATTGCGTGATTTTGCGCGATTTCATGTGAGACATGTAAAAAACTTATTAACAATACAGTATGACATAATAAGAACATAGTTATTTAATATTATTTAATTGATAACTCGCTGATTATTAATCAAATAAATTTACTTCACGCAAGGTTGACATCTTAATCCTAGTTTTTTTTTTTTAAACATGACTTATTATTTTGCAATAGTAGGAACAAAAGATAATCCAATATATGAAACAGACTTTAGCCTCACAAGTGAAAAAGTGCTGGTATTGATCCAAGTTCAAGAGTAAATATTTCTTTTTTAACCAAAATTATTTTAGAATAATAATATTAACTATTTTTATAATAAAAAGAAAGATGAAAATCGACATTTAAATCAATTTATTGTATATTCTGCCTTAGATCTTGTAGAAGGGTTACAATGGCATTCTAATACTATGTACATTTTTTTATCTATTTAATGCTTTTTTGACGGGCTAAATAATAAAAAATAAAATAAAATTATATATTTTGTATTCAGGTACTTAAAATCTGTTGATAAGTTTAATGAATGGCATGTATCAGCCTTTGTTACAGCCGGAAGTATCCTTACTTAAATTACATAATCAAAATACGATATCTTTATAAAACATTTCGGCAAAGTTTATTATACGTAAATAATTACTCCTTGACCTTTAAAGACATTAAACTCATGCTACTACATGAAACAAAAAACGAAGAGGGTATCCGAAATTTTTTTAATGAATGCTACGAACTCTACATTAAGGTGTGTTGATTATCTATTGCATTTTTTTTTTTTATCTTAAATCAATGGCATTTGAAGCTAAAGTTCGATTTATTGCTAAAAAATATTTATAGTAAATTTAATAAATGTCAAATTATTATGGGTATACAATTCTGGAACGTAGTATTTTGGAAATTAGTAATTTATTATAATAGATCAATAATAATAGCTATTATAGAAGATTTTTTATACAAATGGTAATAAATTTAATACAGTACAAGTGTCATACTGTCAAATTTATAAATTTCCGTTTTGTTAATGATCCAGAACTTATTTCTTCATTCTTAAATATATCATCAAAGAATTCTGCTGTATTATTGTTTTCCCAATCACGTTTAATATATTTAAGTACCGTTAACCAACAAATCCTAGAGAGAAAGTGTGATTAATACATACAAAAATTGTTATATTTAATCTATTTGTTCAAGCTTTCAAATCCTAACCTTATTCTGTTTTAATGCAGCTCTTAAATGTGTTTTCAAAGAATTTAGTCTTGGTTTCATAAGTCGATTTGCAACTATTTGGTCATGATGAACTTTAAGAAGATGAAATGTAATTCGGCATGTTAATACCACATTCCATTCCTATAAATAGATATATAGTTATGTAAAACAATGATAATATGATAACAATATAAATTATAAAAAGGTGTTAAGTTACCTTTTTAGCCCACAAGTCCAAATATTGGAATAAAGAAATAACTTTAGCAAATGGCAAATCAATAATGCTTCTTCTAATTCTGAAGACCTCATTTTTTCAATAGTTCTGAGAACATATTGGTCTCCAGTCAGATTCCCAAGCGTAACAAGAATAGGATTGGGCTTTGGTGGTGGCCCAGGATCCTGTCCCCGCTCTTTAAGCTGTGTAAAAAAAATATATTAAATTAATTTTGTGTCTCAAAAGTTTTATTTAAATAACTAAAGTTAACCTTAGAATAGGTTTCCCAAGCTGTAGCATTATCGTTAGCGATATCCAATGCTTCTATAATATGCGCTCTCCAGCTTTTAGTGTTCCATGATTTGTTTTCCAGCTGAAGTTGACTCTACGTTATCTTCAAGTGTCACTTTTTCCATTGATGTTGTCAAGGTCGAATCATATAATTCCTCTAACTCTTTTCTCACGTTCTTCTTCCAAAAAAAGCTGAAGCAATTACATTATTAATAATTAATTAATGATAAACCCATGCCAATATTATTTAACTGTCAATTACCTGTTCATCAGTTTGTTCCCATACTCTAATTGATCTATCATGTGAACCAGAAATAAATAAATCTCCTCGTTTACTTATTGCTAATGCCCATACTTCTCCGTGATGTCCTTCAAGTTTCGTAATATTTTCAAACGTATAATTAATAAGCTAGTGATAAATAATTGAATATGATTAAAGACTAATGAGAATTAGAGAAATTATAATAACAACCAACCTTATCACCATCCCAATATTTCACCAACTTATCTTTGCTTGCTGTGAAAATATAATAATGTGTACCCTGGACAAAATGAACAAGTGATACTGTCTTGATGTGTGAATATTGATTTATGACAATCTCCAAAATCGAGGCCTCATATTTTAATATTTTTGTCAGCTGAACCAGTTACTAATAATTTATTATCCGAAGATATATCTATTGATAATACAATAAAGATTTAAATGATTAGATTAAATAGAATAATAGTAATAATAATGATTATTTTAATTATCAAGTTACTTTATGGCCATATAAAGACAAGAAAAATTTTAAGGTATCGTAATAAAATACTTTGACAGTCGCGTCTAATAATGCTACGGAAATCAATTTCTGATTAGGGCTATATCGAACACATAAGAGATCATCAGGCATCTTTAGCGTTTTCTTGTGAATTAAAAGTTAAATGAGGAGTCCAGTCTATTACATATAATTAATAAATTAGAAATTATCTTTTATCAAATGCTTAAGAGAAAACTTACTTACATACCTGAGATTCATTAGTATCGCCTACTAAATTCCCAACATTTGACGTTTGCCTGTCACCAATTCGCGTTTGTCTGGTCGAACTTGTAAGGACCATATTGGTCCATCATGTGCTTCAATTGATTCTATTTGAGATGAAGACGCGATATTAAAAATAATTCCAAATACCCAAGTTTTGTACCGATTATTACCTAAATTATTATACAATACAGTCATAAATATAATAATCCAATAAATTGAAGAGTTTTTCTCACATTTCGGTTTCCAGGTAAAAACGAACTACATAAAGCGTATCCGCAATCAATTGTTCGAAGACATGACGTAGTTCTCATATTCCAAAGTTTAAGTGTGCTCTTTGATGCAGAACACAATAATTCATCGTCAAAACTTAATGTTAAAGTTCTGATATCATTACGATGGCCAGGAAGGTCAATGGAATACAATTTTGATAAAATGGCATTTTCTAATAATTTATCTTTTTTCTTGAGGCCTATCGTGTAAAGTTCGAGAGTATTATTTGTTAAAGACATAAGAACCTAGCAAGTTCATAAGTAATGGGTAATGTGAATTATGGCTAAAATAAAATTTATTAAACTTCTTTTTTATAAGACTAACCTCTATCGAACCAGATCTTGTAATATCATCTTTTGGTGAAAAATCAACCGATCGTATCTTCGAACCATATGATATGGAGTTAACATATCACTAACATTAATTTCCGTCAAGTCATCATCAATATCCATATTAGAATCTTCTCCAGCCTTTTGTTTTTTTTCTTTCTGCCGTTTCTTACGACGGGCAATTTTCTTTTTATCTCTTCATATGAATGAATACGAAAAATTTCTACATATTTTTCAGGACCTTGAACACCCAATATATTGACATTGGGTGAAGTTTGAGAATAATAACACGTTATTTACACTGTCTTTTTACATTTCCATAAAAGTTAATTGCTTTTTTTATCTAATTTCATGGTGGTCAAATTTTAATATTAATTATAAAAAAACAAAAAAAAAAAAGTAGTTAATATCTAATATAAATTATTAAATAATAACCTCTACTTTCATCATTCAATTTAATTTCTGATTCAAGTCCTTGAGCTAACACGTCATGATCAACTGTCCATAGTTTTAAATCATCATCGTCACTTCCAGTAACAATTAACTTTACATCCTTTGTTACATCAAAATCCCATATTTCACCGCGATGTACAATAATCGTCTCCATGCAATGTTAAGTACTTAAATCCCATAATTTGAGAAGTGTATCCTTCGAAGATGAAAGAAGATATCCATGTCTTCTGAGATAACACCATCTAAAGATGGTTTACTGATAAATCGAATTGCAGTAACTTGATCTTTATGACCTCGCATCCTGAAACAAGTGAATGATCAGTATAACCAGTCATAATATATAATTATAATTTGTATTTAAAGTAAGTTACATTGCTTACCACTTCACTGACTACATTCCAAATAATTAGATCAGTATCTTTAGATCCAGATGCTAATTTTACCCCAGATTTATCGAATGCCAAAGCTGTTCGGTGACCATTAAAAATAAGGGAAAAGTTGTTTGTTCAATGTTCCATGCTCGAATAGATCCATCAGCATACCTAAAAAAATTGATTATAATTAATATCTTTAGCTCGTAAAAGATAGCATTTTTTTTTTTTTGAAAATTATCGTAAAATACCTGCCCAACAGCATATTAGTCATTTTTGGATTTTTTTGTTATAGCAGTTACTTCTGCTTTATTATTAATATCAAGCCATTTTCTTTTCTAAAAAGAATAAATATAATATTAAATATAATATAACAAAAATTTACTAATGCTAAATACTTACTAAAATTCCTTTTTTTAAATCCCACACGGCTACTGCTTCTAATGCAGGGGCGGCAGCAAACGCACCGTCCCTAGTCCCTAGAATAAATTACGTTTGAAGTTGTGCTAGTTACAACACCAAATGTTATTCATGGCTCGTATCTTACCATTTTTTTCGACAATCTAAATTTCAGATGAATAAATCGTGCCATCCACGTGATCATGATCATGAATCTTTAAATTAAATTCTCGACACTTGGATTATTTTCGGTTTGGCCAATGCTTAGTTGGGATTATAATTTGACAAATTACATTAACGTTAACGTTAAAAATTACTTATCCGAAGTGAATAGCGCTTGTAACGTACTGCCCATGGAAAGAACTTCGTAAAAATAATGAAATTATTGTCCACCTGATTAGGACTTGATATATAAAATTTGTTATAAAAATTTTGGTATTTATATTAGCGTTAATTTGCAATATAACAATTAATAGATTCATTTAATTCATATGATTTTTCTTGTAAATTATTATTTTATTAATTATTTTACTTACGAATTAACCTCTTAAATAAATCAAACTTCTTAAGATTATATGAGCAGTAAAAAGTAGAAACCAAGGAATTTAATTGTAAAAAATCAAATTTAATACACGTATAAATTTTTTTATTGAAATGTTTTCGAAGATTTTCAAAAAGCTACGATGGAAACGCCACTAACAATAAAAAAAAAAAGGGAGAATTAGTATAAAAATACTAAATAAAACCAATTAATTCAGTGAATACAACAGGTAATCTAAAGTTCTCTCCCGGATACGTTTAAATAAACCATATTACACACTTCCAATGCTGATATTCCTCACGATTCGTAGAAGAATATCGCTAGTCACTCTTGCCCTGTTCAACGATTCGTGTAACAGATCCAAAAATGCTAGCCTTCGTAACATAATTTGATAAAAATTTCACGATTCGTAGAAATAAATATCAAAAAATGGTACGGACCCACGGCAGCTTTTGACTTGTTAAACGAAACGGAATTACGTACGTGCCTAACAAATCAACGTGCCCATGTGAACTCATCCGTAACGTTCTAAAAATTTCACGATTCGTAGAAATAAATTAAAAACATTACGGAGTTCATAACAGTTCCGATGTACTTCCAAACTTTTGTCTGAAAAATACGCCGGAAGTGTTAGGTGAGCGATTGAAGAGTATGCAATATAATACTTTTTTTAAATAGCTCGAGAAAGATACATAACTGATCCCTCATTCAGGACCAGTAGTTCTCAAGTCTATTAAAAAAAAGTATTAGTTGCAACACATTAACATTAATCGATACTTACTTTTTCGTGTTGCGTATTTCAATATGAAAGTAGGTTTTAAAAAAGTTAAAAACTAGGGCAAATAATGATAATAAGCGAGTATATAATACGTAAGTAAATAATACGTGATCAGATAAGTTTATCTTGAAAATCATTGTTACACAAACTTCTACTATCGCTATAAAAGGTTAGGGTTACTTTTTTGATGCATTTATTTAGTATTTATATGAAAATATCAAGAATACAATCTATGCAGTATGTAGATCATATATTGAATTTGACCCTATTTTTCAAATAAGGTTTAATCGGTCCGAACTGATACAAAATTTTAGATTAGGTACCTTTTTCTAATAGATTGAATTTTAAAGAGAGTATATTATTCATAGGCAGAAGTTTGTCTGATTGGCTGATGTAAATCAATTGCTCGGGAATACAAAATTAAAAATCGTTAAAAACATTATTTTTAGCTTCAAAAGAGTGCTAGAAAGCTAACTCTAAAATTAATCTTTTATATATCTTATATTCAGAAAATTTAGCTTAGACATGACATTCTGAAAAAGGTAAAGGAAAGAAGCTTCGTTTAAATTTAACACGCACTAAAACAAAAATAACTACTAACAAAAATATCGTCTATTTTTTAAGATTTAAATTTCGAATTAGGTATTTAAGAAAGACGCAAGCTTATTAACATGAGAGATTTGGGCTTATACTTGATATTCTTTAAAATTTAGTTTAGTTTGTTAAAGCGTATTTTGGTTATTGATTATAGATATGAATTGGGTTTACAGATAGTAGGGTATGTTTTAATATGAACATCACTTTTTCTACTCTATATGTATTTATCTATTTACTGTGCGTATGTTTCAATATAATTCGTGTGTTCGTCAATTCATATAAACTTTTCTTGAGGTTTTTCGTTTCGTACGTACTGCAAATTGTGTAATTTGATTTGTTGATAATCATGTGTAGATCTACGAACTTCTGCCTACGAGTACGTATACAGTATTACTTTTGCTAATAAGAAAGTATGGTGGTGAGAATTAGTAACACCCATTAAAATTATATTTTGAATATATCTTTCGTATTAATTATAGCGCGTTTTAATTAATTAGGCACAAATTTATTTGTAATTGACCAAAATTAATCTATAACAACAATATGTCCAACCCATTTTCCCACCAATTTTAAATTTCCATTTTATTCGGGAACCCGAATACGTATTCGAAGTTAAATTAGTAAAAAAAAACTATTAATTAATGTACTGAATATGCTATTCAAAATTTATAATGATAATTATTACATAAATAAAATCAATTTTTGTTGTCTGAAATAGAAATATCCAATTTATTTCGCGAAGATATTCATAATATAAAAATATGCTACGATCAAAAAGAATCTACTAGTATTTACATAAGTAGCTGCGCAACGCAGTTGCGCGAAACCAGGAATGGGGAAATAATGAATACAGTGCTAGATACTATGAAAAGATCTTTATAAGGGTATTTTTAGTAAGCACACTTCAGACATGCACATGATTTAACCATTGTAATTCTTTAATTTAGAATTAAAATCTATTATAGAAAAAGGATGACATGCACATGATTGTAATTCTTTGATTTAAAATTGACAATCTATTATAAAAAAAAGATGATTGTAATTTATTTTTAATATTAATAAGATTAATGTTAAAACTGATAAATGCAAAAATGGGTAATTGAGGGGCTATTTTTAAATTTTAAGCTTCTCTTACGAGATTAAAATCGCGCGATTTTGTAATAAAATTTATAATATGAAAACAATTGACCATATTGTCTATTATAAATTTTCATATAATTTAAAGGATCGTACGATATTACCATAATGTGTTTTCTTTGTTCGGGTAAGTAAATTTATAATGCTCAATATTTACGTGGACTATTTTAAATTACCATTTATGCTTATTTTTTTAAATTCCTTTTACGTGACAAAATTGTACGACTTTTATTACAAAAAAAAATTCCAATTTAGTAATTTTATTAATCATTTTATATGCATTACCATTTTAATCGCATAATACGTATCGGTATATCAATTGTCAATTTAATAGTTTGTTTTTTTTATTGCTACATCCCGGAATCAACATTTAAATATCAATATAAATAAAAAAACAATTCAAAGATTTACACATTTTCGAATATTTACCTGACAAAGTTCACAATAATCAGTAGAATATATTTGATTTATTAACAATATTCAGTTTTTTGAATTACTCGAATTCGGCAAAATAATTAATATTCTCAAATTATCGACATGCACCTTAACATAACGATAATATTCATAGTCATTCTGGGGTAGAACTCGAGTTGACTAAAGTCAACAGATCAAAAAGGGGCTAAGCAAGAGTAACGGGCTTCGTGAAAATAGTCGCGGGAACAAGATTCAATACTACATAATCAAGATTAAAAGATGTAAATGACCTTCCATATACGTATAGGGATCGTCTAAAGCCAGGTTCGTTAGGGTTGGTTTTTTTTTTTGATGCATTCAGTAGTTTATTTATATATAGATATCAAGAATGGAACATATGCAATATGTAGATCTATATGTAAACGAACCTGGCTTTAACCGACTCAATAAGGCAATAGTCAAGTTATCGCACATATACGTATAAGGTGTGAAAAATGGCGTGTGAAAAATAGACAACGCATAACAATATGTGACGAACAGAGTCACGCGGACCAATCAAATGCCGAGAATCGTACAGACACATTAACATACTCTCATTAGGGTTTTAGGTTAAATTCATTGTTAGTTACATATAAGAAATTTGCTAATTTACAGGAGTTAGCTTCGCTTAATTAGTTATTTCTTATAGGAAACTTGTGTTTTGTATAGTTTACTTCCTTTCCCCCCGGTCTATTGCCGACACCTCAACGTGGTGATCGGGTGAACGAATTTTTTTCAAAATTCGGCCAAGATCAGCTTTAAATAAGTATAATAAAGTTATAACCCTTTTTTTTTTTGGCTCGCAAAATTTTAGTTAAGTTTATTCTATATTAAATATTGGCTATCTCTTATATAAAAAGTAATTTGTTAATTGCAAAGTAACTTTGACGACAAACTCAACTATTTTCACTTAGTGGACAACTACGAATTTAATTTGACTATGATAGTAAATTTTTTATTTAATTTAAAAATTTAAAACGTTAGTCTATAACATGTTAACAGTAATTATGTTACTGAAATAATCACAGCAGAAAGTAATGCCCGATTTTTAATGCGAAGATCGTACCTTACTTTCTGCAAACCCATGGGAAGAATCTCTCTACCATAAATCCCATAAATCGGGATTAAATATGATTGTAGATACTAGAAATAGATCTATCTTTATAAAATTAAAAATGTGTTACTTTTTGTGAACTATCGTAGATGCAATACTAATAAAGATTAAAATACATAGAACACCTACCAAAAAAATATTTTTTTTCTTAATCTATCCCTCGCATTGATAATTCCACTATTGCATTTATAATCATACCTATTGTTTAAATAAATATCTCCAAGCGCGGGACATACGGTATTCGTTTAGAGGCAGGTATATGAGAGCAGAAGATAATGTTATCGATAAACTAACTAATGATACCAACAATGTTGGTTCAACACTAATTTTGTAAGGAGTCCCAGTTTTGGTTGTCACATAAGTACCACTCATGCCAATGCCTAAAGGAATATCTACATCATGAACCGTATGAATAAATGTAAATATATATATATATATATATATATGTTAAATCAAAAAAAATTATATAAATGAAACATACTCAACATTGGACTACCAAAGCATACACTTATGGCCATCATAGGGCGCCCGGTTTTTACAATAGTAATATTGGCAATAAAATCGCCAAGACTACTGCCCTTTAAAATAAAAAAAAATATATTAATTAATTATGTAAAATGATTTGGCATAATCTACAATGATTTTGGTGATTATTTCAACCATACCATCGCAAATATCGTTAGGCCAAGAATTTCATC